GTGATGTAATGCTGTGATGATAGCTCATTTTTAAACTAAAATTTCAATAAAATCATTTTTTCTCATGGATCGTGAACATTATTGAATGTCAAGTATGAGTACACTGTTGTAGAACTGTCAGACAATTCCAGAAAAGGCCGCAGGCTCAATACTGGCAACAGCCTTCCGTCGGAACTAAGCAGTTATACCGGCCGGATGGCTAGTATTTCTGCTAGTTATATTAACTGCACTGTTACAACACACAGTATTCAATAAACTATTCATATCACATTCTTAACACTTTTGTTAAAACAATTGAGAATTATATCTCTAGATTTGTAGTATTATTATAAAAAGGGAGCTTCACTCATAGTTGAATTCACTTTCTTTTTTGAGCAACTTTAATCTTGTATAAACAACATTTACACCAATCCCTACCCAGTTAAGAGGACGCCACCTTGGCTTTTTATGGTTAGGCTTACAAGATTTTGTAGTCAGATGAAAGTTTAGGATAGGGATGTTAGATGTGGTGTTTCATTTCGCTGCAAGGAAAATGTTTTCTATGTCATAGTTCCTAGTTAATGTCTTTTTACATAGTTTATTAACATTTGTTATGTTCTGCTTGAACACTGGTTGTTATAATTCAAAATACATTGTTTAGAAATTTAGGGTGTGTTCTCATTTTTCAACGAATGTAACTTGTTCTGTAGTTGTAAGTAAGTAGTACGATAACCAAGTTCGGCTTGCTATAGTAGTTGTGGTACCCTTGTAGTAGTATTACAAGTGTATACTGTAAATAGGGACAGTAGAAGTTTTATTTACAGGTTGTGTAACTATATTATATCACAGTGGGTTTGTTTGAAACTTACGTAGCAGAAATAAGAAAAATTTTGAAGACTATTTGAAGCAGAATACAATTCCAAACCACAACGTGTATTTTTTTTTTTATTTTTTCATTTGACCACGTAAACCGATAAAACTACTAGATAACTAAAACGTGTGAAGAATTGAACTTCGAGGCAGCAGGAGAGAATGCAAGCAATAAAGTGTGTTGTTGTAGGGGATGGGTAAGTTTATTCGTTTATTGTACCTGTAAAACTAAAGTAGTTTTTGAAACAAATGAAATTGAGTATTTTTTCTTTTTTTGGGACACAGTGATAACCGTAAAATTATGTTTACATATATATTGTTATAAATATAATTAAAAATTGTGTTTTTTAGATGGTTTCTTTAGCATAAGACCAAAATAGTACTAATTAAGTGAGTGTTTATCCATGGATTTTTATAAAATTAATAAAGAATATTATCTAGCACTAGCATATTTTTTATGTAGTAAAATATTTTCATTTGTCTCTTTCATGAAGGTTCATACATAAAAAAACAATTCTACTTCATAATTCGTATTCTGATGGAAATATTTTGAACCATCTGACTTGGAGTTGGATATGATGGTTGTCCTTTTTCCTCGTTACAGCTATTGCTATTAGAGAATGTCACATACCTTGTTTGGAGATTTTGAGTGTTTGCATGAAATTTTCTCATTGTATCTAGCTAATCTTAAATCGCATTAGTAAAGCTAGGAAGGGAACATTTATTGGTCTCTTGATATTGCTAGGAGCTTTCATTTCACTGACCAGTTCAAGCAAGCATTGTAAAGTTTTAGGTGTAGTCTTATATTTCATGGAGGTTTAAGGTGATAGCAGAATTATTATAGAACGCAAATGGTAGTTAAAGGAGAGCTTCTGCAAAAATATATTTTCACATGTAATTAATGATTTTTGGTTGCAACTGTGAAGATCACTAGCTGAAGCCTAGTTTTCACACTATACATGTGTGTATAATAGTACAGTATAGTTATGCTAAAGTACATGTGAGACTTGTATTATCAGGTTCATCTAAGTAATTCTTTCATTCATCAAATTAAACTAAATGTACATTAACTCTTCATATCCATGTACTTACCCAATGAACTTTTAAAGAATTTGAATTAACACGACATCACATCATGAGATAGACATTATAAAAGAAAAATAATAATTTTTATGAAGAACAAGTTTGGTTATAAAGTTAAACATATTACCTTTGATATTCAAAGCTGGATTAATCAACTATCACACCTAAATTCATAATTGCTTTTTCTTCTACCAACACTGTACACACACAATTCAAGAAGGTCAAAAAACAACTATAAGGCTAGAGTATCCCACTATCCATACTTCTGTGACTGAAAAATGACTGTTTATCACCATCATTACTTTCTACCATCAATTTGATTTTCTTGTCCATATCATAGCTTTTACACCAGTTCAGTTAGAATCCAACCTTTGTATTAACCCATCACATTGCACCTTATCAAAGTGTTTCAATGTTAAGATACCCAATATGAATCTAGTTATGTTTATCTAAACATTTATTATTGCTGTTTTTTAAAAAAAATTGTAGATTAAGCTCAAGCATTTCACATTATCTGTAATAATAATACTTGTTGTTTATACAGGCAAAAGGATAGCAGCATATTTTTCATGTTTTATATAAATCTGTTAAGAAGTAATTTCATAAGAATAAGTATTGGGTTTGAAGCTTGGCACATGCATTCCCAACAGCTGTTTCAGTCATGTTTTTGCAGCAAAGTGTGCAGTGTATTTATATCCTTTTTTTATTTGTTGACTTGAAACACACACTATTTCTTTAAATTATTTATTGTGTAATTTAGATATAGATTATCAGATAAATGCTACTTTTTATCTTTAAAATTTGTTTCTTTATTTTCCCCTTAATTTTTTGATAAACTGTTTTTTAAAGTTTTTCTGAATATTTTATTAATTTAAGAGTTATAAAAGGATAAGTTTTGTAAGTTATTTCACAATAATCTTAAGCAGTTTTCTCTGGCAGATATTATAATTATATTTTCTACTGATCTTTTTTTACTCCAGTGGCTTTCTCTGATTTATAAAATCTTCTGCAAAATCTTTTAAGAACTCACCTGGTAGTAAAGCAGTAATATCTTAAATGTTCACTGAACAGTTATTTATGTTAAACTTATTCAAATGTTTGATAGTCTACGTAGAAAAAAGGAAAGAAATAATGATTATAATTTTTTTGTTTCTTCGAGGCATTAATACTTCACCATGTTGGTTTTACTGTTGAGACATTGGTTCTTACAGCATCATGAGCTTTGCATGTAGGTGTTATCTCCAAGGTATGCATACCAAAAGCATAAGTTCTGACTACATCTAAGAAGTAATCAACCTACTTAAAATTGAGCTAGGGCAGCTACTTGGAACTTGTACCTCCAACATGTGTAGATGCATTTTTGATTTTTTTTTAATCTATAAAACATCTTCAATATTTTATATTCTTTTCAATTTCAAAGATCAGTGCTGTAGCATGATTATATGAGGTGAGAGGGGCCAATTTCTCTCTCACTTTTAAAAAGCTTTTTAATTTGGCTAGTGTGAACTAAAATTTCATGTAATTGTGAGATTTATCTTAAAACTCTCAAATAACTGGCCCAGTGTCCTTTGTACATTTAAAAGTAACACAAGCAACATCCAAGTCTAATCTTTTTTATTTAAAAGTATATATATCCCCCAAATTCCACTCCCATGGATTAATGAATAATAAATATAAATATTAGTACATACAGTTAGAAGGTAAATCAGAAATATCACTGTCTGTTGGAAAAAAATGCTAGAAGTAGATGTATAGGTTAGCTTGATGAAACTTGTAGTATAAAGCATATTGTTGGATTTTCTTGAAAACTTATTAGAATGTTTCCATAAAATAAGTATCATTGCTATACTTTCCCATGTAAGAAAAAATAGGATTGTTACATTATTAGGGTTGTAAAGGGAGTTTAAGGGAAATCTTGATGAATATTTGAATTATAAAAGCTGTCTTTGAGTTTTTGTTTTTTTACGAATTTAGTTTAATTTAGTGGATAGTACAGTATAGATGGATCAAAAGGTCTCTTGCTGTCTATTAATATTATGTTAAATTAACTGAATCTACTACAGCTGAAGGCAGTACATTCTAAAGGCTAACCACCCTGTTAGAAAAATAAAGCTGTCTTAGCTAAAGATGTTTCCTACCCTGCAAAAATTTGTCCCCTAATCTTATTCTCATCCTAAATACAAAATACCTATCACTGTATTACAACCTTTCCATCACAGGTATCATCCTAGTAGCTCTCCTTTAACCCCTGAATCCCTTCCAATTATTTAGTGTACTTTCTAAAATAAGAAGCCCAAGACAGAACAGAGTACTCCAAATGTACCTTATTAATGCTTAAACTCTGACCTACTTACAGTGTAAGTAGGTATGCAACTCTCTTGAAAGTTTTTTACAAAATTGAAACTAGTGGATGAAATTCTTTTCAATTTGAGGTGAAAGGCCCTATAACTAAGTAGTTTTTGAAAAATAAGATAGTTAATTTTGATTTTTTCTAAAGTAATTTTTCTCATGCCTTTTTTTTTTTCTTTTCTACATGTTACCCATTCAACATGCAATGTAATTTTCATTTTAAGATTAAAAATACTTTTATGCATCAGAAAATTTTCTAATTTCACATGTGAAATCCTAATAATGTTCAAACATTTTTTAAGAAAATATTTATATTTTATCTGTTACTTTCATTAACAAATATCTGTATGGGTCTGGTCGATTTGACCGGTCTTGTAACCACCAT